GTTGTAAGTACAGGTTTTGCCCTATTTTAGTTATCAAATCAATTATCAGTAAACACTATTCTTTAATCTCTATGACTGACAGTGGGAGTATGTACAGAAGGATAAAAAACTGCCACAGCTGGGTGGTTTAATTGAAGTGTGGTCCATACACCAAAAGGATTTCGGGTCCTATTCCCAGTCAGGGCACGTAGGTTGGAGGTTCGATCCCCAGTCCAGCGCACATGAGAGGCAATCTATTAATGTTTCTCTCCCCCAGCCCTACCTCTCTCTCTCAAATTAATATACATATCCTCAGGTAGGGATTAAAAAAGGGGGATAAAAAACTGTGAAGTTGGAAGTACGGGGAGATGAAAACTAGATGGACAAAATCTTTTCTTTTTTCCTGGAAAAACTCGGTGTTTCTGAAGAAATGTCTGAAGGAGGTTTAAAAGTTCTGAACGTACATACTTTTGTAGAAGTCACAGTTTTAATCACAGGTTACTTCACCTATTTGGACTTCAATTTTGTCATCCATAACATTAAGTTTAAAGACCCTTCCATCTCAAACATTTATGCATATTCCTCTAAATTACATTAGTCATATACTTTTGGGATTTTAAAAGCCAATCTATAGAACAAATATTTTCAAAGAAATATAATTGTGCTGCATTCATCAATGTGACTGAAGTAGATAAGACATAGGAAGTTTCCTATTTTAGTTATGGTAAGCATTTTGTTTCTTACCATGACTTTTGTAGCTTGGGCTGGTTTCCATTGTACAAGTATAACTCCACCACATAGCATAAAAACTGAAATCCACTGTACTTTGCTGAGTGCCCGGTTTAACATTAAAACAGTACATAAAGCAGTACAAGGAATCTTCAATTGGTAGGTCACCTAGAAACAAAATAATGAATTAATGAACTTAACATTAATGTCTGACACCACTATTTCTGATATCATTAATAGAATTATTGAGAAAAACACTTGACAATGTGATAAAGGGCAATAAAAATAATTTCACCATAAAAACTTTTTTTAAGAGTTTGCTCTCCATTATTTATTCCACTTACCTGGTACACTGCTGCATCCAGGTTGCTAAGAGCGAGGAAAGCCATGTTGTTCTGAACAGCATACACTAATGATGGCACACTTAACTTCATCAGTTCTTTGGGGCTCCCCAAGACATTTTCTCTTAACGAAGTCTTGAATCTACCCAGACTACCAGTTTCTCTTTTAAAATAAAAGGAGGGAAAGGAGAAGTTGAGGAAGATTAAAGAGCATCCTTTTGATAATTCTTCACACAGAATAGCTATAAGTCCATTGATATAATTTAGCAAATTTATTGTTTTTATAATTTTCAACTAATTTTAGATTTTTTAAAATGCCAACAACTGCATAAAAGAAAAGCAATTATAAGTTCTCTTTGGGAAATTATGAGAACACTCAGGTTTACCATTGTTGGCCTCTGATGAAAGTTCCAGTTTTTGAGTATATTAAATAAATAATAAAACAGCAGGAAACCAGAAATGCTGATTATTACCTACTTAATTTAATCCCTGACACTTTAACTGCCATTACATCAAGTTCACACTGATTATTTCTTAATTAATCAGGCTGCATTTCCATTTTTAAAGTTTTTTTTTAATTACAATAAATTTAAATTTTAAAAGAAAAAGGCTTTGGTAGCTATGGAATTATTTGGGATAGGAATTGATGGATTCAGGTCAATATAATTTGCAACTTAACTCAGTGCTCATGAAGTATAGTGGACAATCTTTAAGCATATTCTCACAAAACTCAAGTACCTGTCTATAATTTTGCAGGAAATCTGTAACTTACTATTACCAACAAAAATTATAATGAACATAAAGTTTACTAGTTGACTGCATATTGATTATCCATGCTTTTAACTATTCTTATTTTTCCTCAGGAGGAACAAGATAATCTGGCTTATTTCTCCCATTGTAAATCATAATAAGCATTACACCAGAAAAAGTACTTTATCAAAAGGGCCTAACTGTAATTCACAATATGCTTAGGAGGACCATAATACTTTGACCTGTTTCAACTCGAAGTTTGATACAGTTAACATATTAGTATCTACAATCATTAATTGATTTTTCTCCTACAAAAATAATCACCAATGTTCTAAGGGGACCAAAAAAGTCCATAATGTTAGATTGACTACCTATAACTCTCCAGTGTACAACACTCCGGCCCTCAACACAGTGCTAAGACAGGAAATTTGGCCTAGGCCACGGAAACAAAAGATATCCTGAGTTACAGATCTTCCTCTGTTGCCAAATTCACCCTGCTCCAATGGTAAATCTATATGCTGAGAAATAACACACATAGCTTGGTGGGAGATTGCAAACTATCTAAAAGAGGCAGGAAATACCAGAAAGATCACTCTGAGAATTTTACAGAGTAGGAGTTTCCAAGGATCTGAAGATGGGCCCTTTGGACATTTCACATTCTTTTTTTCAATTGCTTTCAATGCAAATCTAAGGTGTCCTCTATACTATCTCAACATCTTAAAACAGTATAAAGAATTTTCCTAAGAATGTTTCCCTCAATTATAAAATTGAAGAAAAAATTAAAGAGAAAAAAGATATAATAATCAAGAGGTCCAACCTCCTTAACACATGGCAGACAGACCATGAAAATTCTTGCTTCGTATTACACAGTGTTTTTCAAAGTTTCATACTTTAAAAAGATACTAGCTTGTAAAAACGTAATAAATAACTTCAAAATGCAACAGGTATTTGATGTTAAAGTGCCTTTACATTTATGTAAAACATTTTTTTTGTACACATTCAACAGATACTTATCTGGCCACTGAGTAAAGCTAGCAATAAAACTACTGGTCTGCAATGCGTTAATAAGGTGATGTATTAGAAAATGTAATTGAACATTTTCCTTAATGTCGTAATTCTCACTAGTAAGTAATTATATAATAGTAGAGATATAAATCTTACAAGTTTTGTGAAGTATAGGATACTGCTTTCACTGTACTTTCAGTAACTTTCTAAAATACCGACATATGTTGATATATGTTCAGAGTGCTTCCCCAAGGAGCTACTGAGAGGTACCCATTGAACCCATTTCCCACATTCTCCCTCCTTCCATGTCCATTGATCTCCCACCTAAGATTCCCCAAATTTTAGTATAGTTACTATTTTCCCTTTCCCTAATCTCCTGCTATGGGCAATATCATTACTTTCACCCATTAAAGATATGCTAAGTCTTCAACAGCATCAAGTTAATTTTTGGCTGAGAGAATATAGTTGATTTTTTTTATCACTGGTACCCTTTTGCCTGTCGGAATATGGGCTTCTTAGGATCTTATCACTATTTCTAATAACCATTCCTGCACCAATAATCAAGGTTGCTGTAGCCTCTTTTCTCCGTCACTTTTCTCATCTCTTCTTCCATACTTTCCAGTTTTTAAAAAAACAACAGCCAGTCTGAATATTCCTTTCCTTACATGTGAGAAACCAGTAGAGAAGTGTGTTGGATTAACCTTCAGATCTTTTGCTCTTTTGACTATATCCTCTTTTTTTTTTAATTTTATTGATTATGGTATCACATAATTGTTTTCATCCCCCCATTCCCATCCTTTCGTTCAATGCTTAGGAGCTACTACTTATTCACTGACAGTAAGGTCTTAGCATATTTTTCTAGTTCCTTTGCTAACGTGGGTGTTTGAGAAGCCAAGCTATACTAAAATGCTAACTACTGAAATGCTCAAGTCTCACTAGTACCTCAGAATTTCAGCAATATTGTATAATTATAAATAAGGTATTTTGAAAGAAAGTTACAAAAAAAGTCAGGATGCTAAAAGAACTTGTCTAAAGAAAACACAAGCTCGGGAATAATAGAAAAATAGGAGGTATAAAAAAGAATATGAGGGAATCAGTACACAAAGTTTTAAAGATGATAATGATTTCAGTTTTAATCAGATTAAATCCTGCTTAATTTAACATATGTATTAACAGCTCTGAAAGCTTATATTTAGATTTACTCACTACAGTTTTAAAAAAGCAACAGCAATATATCTTTCAGAAAACACTAGTAATCATCAATCCTTTTAAGTAGACAAACATAAATGATCAATTCTAAATACTCTACAGCCTTGAATATACTATAAAAAGTAATAAATCAAAACCAATGGCCATTTTCATGCCCTGATATTTTCCCAAGTAACTTAATGAGTATTTTTTGTTAAAAACAAGTTTATTAAATTTAATTATATAAATGACAATGCTACGTGAGAAAAAGCATATACTAGTTTTCATAAATGTATTTCCAATTTGAACAATGTATTTTTATCACTAAAACAAAATCTTTGAGCAGCCTTTTGTTACCTGAAGAAATTCTGAAGCTCCGTGTTGATTGCAGAGAGATTCCAAGGCCTCCTCCCCCCCTAAATTTCCTATCAAACGCTGAAATCAATTCTTTCTGACCTATGTTTGGTCAAAAGTAGGCCTCATTCTTCCAGCTCCTGATCTGATGAGAACTACTAGGAGGCATAAAATCCTTGGCTAGGTTACCAAGGCACTGTGCAAAATGGAACACAGCAGAAGTTACTCATGAGCTTAAGAAATTTAAATCTTGCTTACAAATTTCCTATCATCTTCAAGGTTAAGTATAACTAACTCACATAGAAGACTTAGGGGGCCAGGTATAAAAACCAATAATGAGGTCATTTGAGAACAAAAATACTTATATGAGGTACAAGACTTTTACTATCTCATGTCCCTATACCCCATATAGCCTGAGTACAAAGAGGGGGTCAAAATGTAAACTCAGCAGGATAAATAGAATAGGGATGGATAATCTACAACTTATTTAATAGCTACATTAATTATTCTAGGTAATACTTGAAATAGAAAAATTTCCTCCAGCCTTATATTGATAGTAGCTCAAAGTTTTAAGATACATGTGCTTTACTACTAAATACATCCTACTAGATTTATTTAGTCTTTATAAAGTGTGAATAGCAAACAATAAAAAGTTGACTTTGTTATGGCAATGTGAAAATGTTTTCATTTCCTTCTTTTCATAGCACAAAAGACTAAATCAAAACTGTCAGTTTTAATAGCTATGACAGGGTTTAATAGAGCATACAAGTAACCAGTAATTTTCCTGTGAATTGTAATGGTAATTAGTTTTATGAAGAACCAAAGTATTTTAAATGTTATACTATTGTATTTTATGTTTGAATGAGATTACAACTTAGAAATTGGTAACTTGTGATTCAAAGATTTTAAAAATTAACTATTCACATAGGAGCTTTTACAACACCAAACTATTAATTTGACCCCTCACCAAAACAGGATTTAAATCTAGTTCCCCTCTCAATTTAAAAGTGATTTGATGTAATCATACATGTGCATGACAGTGTATGTAAAAAGATAATTATTTCATTTTTGAAGTAGCAAAAGACTGGAAATGACCATTAATAGAGAATCCTATATCTGATACATCCATATAATGGAAAACCATGCAGCTCTCAAAAAGAATGAGACAGATTTCTATGTACTGACATGAAACAATAATCTCTAAGGTAAATAAAATGAAGCACAGTGTATATTAAGTATATATAGACACATATGCATATAACTAAAACTCACCAATTAGACCACATATACCTTAAATCTTATTTATCAAAGTAACTGTCTACTCATTCTTCCCCATACTCGCTTATTTTCTTGCAGTTCTAACTTTTCATTGAAATAAGCATATTTTCCATTCCAAAAATTACTGCTTGATTTTATAAGTAAAATCAAGCATGGGAAAACCCAAAACTATTTACTAACAGAAACTAAAAAAAAAACTGGTCAGTTTTTTAATTAATTATAAAATTACACTGAAGCAGAAAAAGAATAATAACCCAAGTATTCCCAATAGTCCTTTTATTATGTACTCTAAAACTAAAGGCAAAAAGAACTATATACAAAAACTGAACTTAGTAGGTTTTTCACATTGTATGTTAGAAATTCTAAATCTACTACGTATTCTAGAATTAAGCAAATAAATATCTTGAGAATAATGGGAGCTAGACTCATCATCACTAAAGGGAACAAATATGAAAAAGGGGAAGGTTAAAATCAACTCTGCAGTGTTGGATCAGAATTATAGGCATAAACAATATGTAACTCATACCGTTACACAGACATATATATGCATACACAATACATATATATATGCACATACATGTATTTCCTAGCTCTGTCTGCTGAAAGGGCCTAGCAATGATACCCCAGTAGCAAGAAACATACCTAGTATCTAGATTCTTGTTTTTAAATGCCATTCTGGAAGGAAGAAAGAAAAAAAAACAACAAAGCTTCAAGGCTTCTTGGAGAAATGTATGATTTCAGAGTTAGAGCAGGGAAAATCCAAGATAAGTCTTGACCATCTTAGCATGAAAAAAAGATGGAGAAACTGTTCTGGATTAAAGGAAGCTACACCAATTTATTATTTGCTTAAGTATCTGATTCTCCACTAGCTTATAAGTTCCATGAGGACAGAACTATGCCTTCTTAATTTTCAGCTATACTTCTTACATCTGGAACAGTGTTGAGCACATAACTAGGGCTTAATAAATAAATGAAACTAATTATTCCATTACATCTTTTTAATATATTGAAACAGACATAGCATGACTAGATGCTTAAAATGTTTGAAGGGAGTGGAACACCCTATTATTTGGATATGGCAGTGATATGTTTCTATGTAAATGAACCTTAATTATAAGCAAGACTCTATGAAATTCAAGAAATTTATTGAGTCTCTGCCATCTTCACAGAGTATAAAATGATGTGCACTTTCTTTAACAATTAGACTGAAAATATTACTGAGTAAAGGGCATTACTAGAGAGACCATACTAAATAAGCAACCAAACAGGCTGGTCTATAATGAGGCTAAGCTTTGCATAGTTCAGATAAAGTTCTGCAACAATATTCAAATCAACTCGATAAAGTTATACCTTACCATGGGTTAAAGTGGGAAGAAGGAAAAAATAATTCACTTCCTTCAATAGTTTTTTTTCCATTTAAATAGTAGTTCCAGTTTATTTCCCTTTTTCTTTCATTCTCTAAAAATTTGAAAAATTCAATAATTTATCTAATTTTTACATTATTTTCCTGGGAACATGGGGGAAATTTATTATTTTAATCATCAAAACATTTTTTCCTGTTATTTTCTTCTCTGAAGAGGTTTTTCAAGTTCTAAACCTCTTGTTATTTCTCATATAATTCTTTCACATTCTCGAATACCCTGGTTATCCTTTCCCAAAGATGATAAAAGTATTGCTCCTACTATAAAAACAAAGATTTAAAAAAAAAAAAAAGTCTAGTCTCATAGAAAGAATTAGCTTTACAGAAAGGACTAGAGGCCCGTTGCACGAGCCTAACTGCTGAGTTAGGCTCATTGCTTTTTTGCACATTGGTTTTTTAACATTCTTAGGGGTCACAAAACAACTGAACAATGATTTGATCTTACAGTTAAAAATGGCTCATTTCACCCTGACCGGTTTGGCTCAGTGGATAGAGCATCGGCCTGCAGACTGAAAGGTCCCAGGTTCAATTCCAGTCAAGGGCATGTACCTTGGTTGCAGGCACACCCCCAGTAGGAGGTGTGCAGGAGGCAGCTGATCCGATGTTTCTCTCTCGTTGATGTTTCTAACTCTCTATCCCTCTCCCTTCCTCTCTGTAAAAAAATATATATTTTAAAAATAAATAAATAAAATAGCTCATTTCATGCTTAACAGTCCTATTTCAATCTTGAGTCCCTAAGGAAATTAGGAAATAAAGAAATGTGTTCCCCTGTCCCTCTTCTTCCAACAACCCTACATTTGTCTTAAAAAAAAAAAAAAAAAAAGTTAAACCTTAAGGTTTTATTTATGTATTCATACTTACATTGTTATACGGAAAATGTCCTAAAGTTTTAAACATAGAGACTTGCCTTTAGAACACTTACTTTAAAAAATATATTTTTTTTTAGATTGATTTTCAGAGAGGAAAGGGGAGAGAGAAGCATCAATGATGAAAGAGAATGAATGATAGGCTGTCTCCTGCATGCCCCCTTCTGGGGATCAAGCCAGCAACCCAGGCATATACCCTTGACCAGAAGTGAACCTGGGGCCCTCCAGTCTCCAGGCCAACACTCTATCCACTGAGCCAAACCCACTATGGCTGAAACAATTTTAAAAAGTGATTTTCAGAGAGGAAGGGAGAAGGAGAGAGAGAGAAACATCAATGATGAGAGAGAATCATTGATCAGCTGCCTCCTGCACACCCCCATGGGGGATTGAGCCCACAATCCAGGCCATGTGCCCTTGACCGGAATCAAACCCAAGACTCATCAGTCCAAGGCCGATAGTCTATCCACTAAGCTAAACTGGCTAAGGCTGAAACACTTACTTTTAAAGGTACAATAAGGCCTCTCATTTAGCTGACATTATCCAAAATGAAGTATCTTTTAATAAAAGCCAAATATCAATAAAAATAAATCTAGTTAAGTAAGAAAGTGGAAGGTCTGAGATTTTACCTTACTTGCAACCTAACAAGTTAGGCTGCCTGTAAGATATATTTTAAACTCAAATATATTAAAACTTTCCACCTTCTAGCCTGAGTTATTTTTCCTGTTTTCTCCCTCCCTAAGCAATGTTTACAGTGTTTCCCCCCCACATGATTATTTGTAATCATATGTGTTTCCTGATTTTCCCTCTTCTACTAAACCTAAGTTCCAAGCAAGCAGGAACCATATCTATTTCATTCACACCTGTACATTCAGCACCTGTTATAAAACTGTCACATAGAAATCGCTTAATAATCATTTGTTAAATGAAATTTAAGTGTAATTTTTCTACCTTAACTCTGACACATGCTATTCTGCATTGGCTCCCCACTCATATCACAAAACCTGTAGGAAATCTCTCCTGCTCACATGACCCAGATGGCTCACATATCATAAATCTTTCCCTAAGTAATTTCCTTGTTATTTCATTCTCACAACCCTGTATTTTGTTCTCCCATTAAATAAGGAAGAAAATAACCGAAACTGGTTTGGCTCAGTGTATAGAGCATCGGCCTGTGGACTGAAAGGTCCCAGGTTCGATTCCAGTCTGGGGCAAGGTACCTTGGTTGCGGGCACATCCCTGGTGGGGGTGTGCAGGAGGCGGCTGATCGGTGTTTCTTGTCGATATTTCTAACTCTCTATCCCTTTCCCTTCCTCTCTGTTACAAAATCAATAAAGTCTATATATTTTTAAAAATAAGGAAGAGCCGAAACCGGTTTGGCTCAATGGATAGAGCGTCGGCTTGGGAACTGAAGGGTCCCGGGTTCGATTCCGGTCAAGGGCATGTACCTTGGTTGCGGGCATATATCCCCAGTAGGGGGTGTGCAAGAGGCAGCTGATCGATGACTCTCTCTCATCGATGTTTCTAACTCTCTATCTCTCTCTCTGTACAAAATCAATAAAATATATTTAAAAATAAAAATAAAATAAAAATAAGGAAGAAACTAAAGCTTAGAGAGGTATGAAATGCATGTAAAATCATAATCCCAACAAGGCTAGGCTGAAAATTAGGCATCTCACTCCCAAGTCCCTATTCTGAACCTTCTTTTACACTGTATCCTTAGCTAAAATGATTCTCATGTAATGTTATTTGATTTAAAGCCCAGTGCGGCCACATATTAACAGTGTAATACTGAGGACCTCAGATGCTGTACAAGTAAAATGGGGATAACTGTAGCATTTACCTACAAATATAAAGGCTACATGACACAATGAAAAGCACAACGCACAGTGCCTAACACTTAACACAGAAAACACTCAAGAGATGTTAACTACAGTCGTCATTATAATCCTCTAAAACAGGTCAGCAAACTTTCTGGTAAAGGCCAAATAGCAGACAGTTTAGGCTTTGTGAATCATACCGTCTCTGCTGCAACAAACAGGCAGCAAGCTGGATGCGGCTCAAGGTTCTCCAACTCCTTGGCACTACTCCTAGGTAAGGCTGGTAAGTCTGTGTTGGGGTGTGTGGCTGTCCTGTGCATCACAGGGCGCTTAGAAGCGTCCTTTGTGTACACACCACATGCCGGGAGCATCGCCCAACTCGGGACAATCAAAAATATTTCCTGGGGAGCAAAATCGCCCCAGGTTGAGCAATACTGCTCTACAGCAATCAAACATATAAAAATGTAGCGTGATTTTTTTTTTATAATAATGAAAATACCTTAAGTGAAAAAATAACTTAATTCATTAAAAAGTAATTATACTCACTTAGCTAAAATCCCCACACTTAGCAATAACTTTATAACTTCTGTGATACACACAGCTGTGGTTGAAAAGTAGAGTTCTTTGTCCGATGTCCTTGTGTATCGTAAAGCTATGGTATAGGTTGCAGCCACCAGGGTCATCACTGTCAAGCAGTATAACTTGAATAATAAACTGACATTTTCTGGAAAATATGTGCAACAAAGATATTATTTAGTAAACAATATTAATGCATATAAAAGTTAGCATTGTACTTCAAAATGCCTTCCAACTTCAAACACAAAATAACTTTTTAAACCCACATTTAAAAATGTACTTTAAAGCAATACTTTCCAATTACATGAACATAAACATACATACATACATACATACATACACAAAACACAGCTGAGTTTGAATACCAACTGGTTCAGCACTGATTTTGTTCCTGGGAATGCCTCAATTGCAAGACTAACTCTAGTTTGGGATATCATAAATTACCTACCTATAATAATCTATAATAATAAAAACATAATATGCTAATTAGACTGGACGAAGCCACAGTGGCTGCGGGGGGCCGAGGAAGCCACCGCTGCATGAATTTCATGCATCAGGCCTCTAGTTTCATCTCTCTTTATAACTCAAACTTATGAAAACAATCATAGCAATTTATATCCTAAATTTAAAGACAGCAGAGAGAGAAAAAGGACTGAGTGATAAAAGTGGAGCTTAATATAAAACTTCATCATATAATAAAAAAAACAAATCATGTAGCCTCTTATTTCATAGCATTATGCACAGAAAAATACTTCCTTACTCCAGAGAAGAGTACTAAAAATGAAGCCCTATAAAACTGGGAATGCCGGATCTGTACAACGTATAAACACTCAATTTTAAGAACTGCTTGCAGGTATACGTGCGCAGCAGCCATCACTCGGGCACCAGGGAGGGTCCAACAATCTCAGTAAAGCCCAGGCCCTGGGTACCAGGTCTCCCTCACACTTCCTCCCTTACTCCCAGCCCTGCCCTGACACTGCCGTCACCCAAGGCTCAAACTAT